AAAAACCGTATATTTTAATGTATCTAGTTTTTGATAGGTTGAAATCTATATATATATATATATATATGTGTATAACAGTATATATATATATATACAAAACAAAAAGTTTAAATAAAATATAGAGTATATTCTAAATGAAGTATATGTTTGTCATTTCCGTTATTTGTAAGACTCTGATATCATAAAATAGAAAGAAATTTAACTTTTAATTTTTCAATTACTTTTTTTTTATTAACTTAACTTTTAATTCAATTAATTTCATTATACATTAACTTGTATCTTAACTAAGTTAAATTTTCAAGGTTGTTAACTTTAACTTAACTTAGTTAAAAGAAAAAATTAACTTACCCAACCCTGAGTATATGTTATACGTTTATCAGAAAAACACATTCGTGTTATAAATCAGTGCTTTGATGCTGTTTTTTTAAAGAAAAAAAAATTATTATTCTTTTTATAATGTATAATTAAGAATGATATAACTGCAATAAAAGCTTAGATTGATCAGGTAGACATAAAAGCCGATTGTTCAAAATACACCATTCATATTTCGCGTCTCTAATTTATGTGATTGCTTGATTGGTCATAACTATTTTCAATTTGTGTCTTGTCAATTTCCTGTAACATTTAAATAGAATAAGATATGTAATATTCATGTATACAAAAATAAAGCCCGAAACAAATTCCATTGATCGAGATCTTTTATCGAGAAAAATTACCTAAATATACTAATTCGTAAAATATATATTCATATATATTCATATTCTACCGTATAAATATGAAAAATTTAAAATCACATTTAAAAAAATAAGTCTGCGAGTTTGCCTTACTCCATTCTCTTTCATTTCTGTTCATTCCTCTCTTTCTCCGAAACTCCTCTTAACGCCACATCGTAACTTATATGTATATATACACGTTCTAAGTAACCGGCGATCTTCGGTTTTGTTGATCTAATTTGTCTTAAATGGATAACTTGTACGCTTGTTTACTGAATTAGATTCCCATTTCAAATTCTCTCTCTCTCTCTCTCTCTCCCGCTTTGAAAGAACATATTTCCGACATAAAAAAATTTTTTTATTCGAGATTTCTTGCAGATAATTGTGCAGATTGATTACAATGCAATTATTACTATTATTAATTACTATTTAATTATAGTTGATAGTACGATGAGTTCTTGGAACAAGTCTCTACCGTTGGAACACGATATATCATTTTTCTCTTTCTGCGAAACATAATAAATAATACTGTGCGAAAAATACGAATGCATATTTTTCACATGTGAGAAAGCGCTTAGTTACGGTCTTCTTAACTTAATCGTATATCTCGATTAGTGTTTTCCCATATGAGCGAATATGGACGTCAACGCGCTTTCTCTTGACCTTTCGTCATTCACCATATAATTCCACTTACGTTGATTAATAATCAAGCAAACGATGGTTTTTCTTGTGTAAGCGTTGAATTTTCGCATATAGGAAAATTTCAAATTTCGATTTTTATATAGAATATTCTCTATACGAAATGTATTATACGAGGCGCAGTGATCGAAATTTCGAACGATTATGTTAAATAAAAATAATTATTGCTTTTTATAAAGAAAATAGACGACTTACAGGACGGTGACATTAGGGGGCACCCGTGGCACTTGGATCAGCTTTAGGAACATACATCGCACCTGCATTGTGTTGTTGTAGCAGACGCATTTCTGTGGGCATTCTACCGTTGCTCCAGTAGCCTGCTGCAAGGGATCTGTTGCGAATAGGAGCGGAGGGACCAACAGCGTCCAGACCAACAGGTCCACGGTCCGCCTCATGTCCTTCGCTTGATCGTCGAGGTGTTCAGTGTACTTGAGAAATGTATCCACAGTATAAGAGTAGTCTCTATATGTTGTGTGTCCCGGTACCACGTGGATCGGTGGTCGGACGTGCGTGCACGTACACACACACACACACACTCTCTCTCTCTTTCAAGTACTTTCACTGTATTATTCACAGGATCAACAAATTCCCAAGTGGGAATCCGATTAAACGTTGGATAAGAAGAAGACCGCTGGTGGGACGCGCTTCGAAAGAAGGCTCGAAGGAGGCTAGTCAGATTAGTGGCGAGACAAAAGAGACAAAAGAGAGGAAGAAGGAAATGCACCACACCACAGCTGGCCACAACTGCCCGTCCAGTTTCTGAGCGGCGGCAGCCACTACTGTAGCGCTACGCGACTCATGTTCGCGTCGGGAGTCGGGAGTCGGTCGGGATCTCGTTTGGAGAGAGGGTCCATTGCGTCACGCGGGAGTAGGTACAAAAGACTTCCCCGAGAGTACGAAGAGACTCGTTTCTCTTCGCTTTCGTCCCTTCGTTTTTCGTGTTGCCATCCCACCGTCGCCGTCGAACAGTCGAAGCACGTTGAATGCGAGTCCAAGAGTACGAGAGTACGAGAGTATGCAAAGTAAGAGTACTCGCGAAACACCGCGACTTGTTTTTAAAGTAACGGAGATATACCACAAAATGCGCGTAGGTTAGTATAATTAATCCAAATAATCAACGAATAATTTTTTTTTACATCTAATTAATATTATTACGATTAGTGGTACTAATTTAATGTAAAAGATTGACCAATTGTATATAGTCGATTATTCTCCTCACATTCAACTGTGATTGATCGGTCAGTTTCTTAAGGATTACTAAACCTATTGTAAATCAGAAATAGTACGGAATAACGCGGGAGAGGGGTCAAAGTATAAACAATTTAGAAGATTCCCTAAAACCCCGAACGCTTATAATTACTCCAGACGTTTTTGGAGAGACTCCCTCCCCCCCCCCCCGATGCCCTAAAAAAAGGATAGTATCCGGGGAAAAGAGGAGGGATGGTAATTCTACTTGCAAACGATAATTATACGATTACTTGAAAATGGCTAAAAAAGGAACATTAAAGTTAACCTTCTCTCAATTTTGCGTAATTTTATGTTATTTACAAAATCTTTATGTCACTCGATATTATAGAGATATACATATATCTTTAATTTTCAATAGAATTGATTTAGATAGTATTAACATTTTACTTTTAATAATGACGCGTTACTAACTAACTATTATATATCTTGCTTCAAATAGCTTCTCGGTTCTATCGATCTCTAGATTCAATACATTTTAATATAGTATATCAACGTGGCGAATAGTATTTTTCTTAACTAACATTAAGGTATCGATAATTTGTTTGAAATATGATTATAATATTGTATTTCATACATTAATACTTTTTGTACTTTATCCGCTTTCCTTTTTGACCATTCTGTATTCTTGTGATATGCTATTATATAATATTTATTGCATATAGATTCTAATTTTTATAATATTATTTAAAAACATATCTTAGATTGTGCTCTAGTCACGTCGATGTCTCGGCGCTATCTAATTAATCCTAAGATGACTGTTATTTCATATGTATGCTTACTCGCGCTGTGTGACGAGTGGCGAGTAGGCAGAACAAGTGGACCACGAATAGGCGTGTGCACCAATGTACACGTTTCTATGTAGTACGCTTGAACGCGCGTATAGGGTAGCGTAGATTGGATTTGTGTAGATATAATACATTCGTGGGCGTGAACATTTTGTTTACCGGGCATCACGTTACCTCATTGTGCGTACGATGAAAGGAGGAGAGAAGGTGGAAGTAGCGAAAGGATGCATTAGGGGCTTGCTATTGCTGTTTATATTTAGCCGATGTAAGAACGGTTATGTTAAAGTTTACGCATACGTGTTGAATTGTACACGCAAATTCATCATATTGCAATGGCCTAACGAGGCATATATAGTGAGACCAGTTTGTGGTGATCAAGTCAAATAAACGCTCTGGTATATATATGGTACTAACTAAATTCAAAAGATACAAGGATCAATCAATTTAATGTGTCTCGAAATATAGCTCACTCTTAATTCACCGTTCTTATTTCTTTTTATTTTATTTAGAATATTTAGAACAGCAAATAAAAGAAGAGTTAAAACTTTTTATAAGTTTTAAATGTTCATCTATGAAAATTGTTATCTTTGTCACTTGCCCGGTGAGTTAATTTGCTTCGGAATTGCGTGCATAATTCTAATGTACATACGTGTAAAAGTATTGTACTAGTAGCGCGTAACCAATCATCGGCAGCAGGCATAACCGTTGTATAAAGATAACGGTACTTAATTGAACCCACGATGGTTTGGCGAGTGCCATGAGGAAGTGATCTAGTTTATAAATAGCATCATAAGATATTGATACTTGTATCATTACCAATATAATCTCGTCTGATATTATTTTATAATTTCGTTAATCATGTATCTTCGTCATTGTCTCACTTTGATTTTCTGTGTGTGTGTGTGTGTGTACCTCCAAATTAGATAATGTAATTCGGTTCATATCTGAAATTGTTTAATATTTAAAAGAAAAACATAAATATCTAGGAAAATCACATGTATACATATGTTACAGACACAAAGAAAATTCTTTTATGTAAAAATATTACGAAAAATTTTTGAAAAAATTGTTCTCGCAAGAATGTTGTTTAATAACAAAAGAAGCAGAAACAAATGTTCTTCTTCCATTCATAATGCGGTTCCTTGAGATATGGCAAACGAGAACGATATAAAGAAGTCGTGGCTTCGTCATTCAATACGGCTGCATATAGAAGAAGAACAATGCAGATGACTGACGCACATAATAAAAGAATATTAAACGAAAGAGAGAGAGAGAGAGAGAGAGAGAGAGAGGAGGGGAAAAGAAAATATTAATGTATTGAATCACTGTACAAAGGAAAAATCACAGAGGGAGAATCATACACGTTTTAAGATTTTCTCTATAAGTATTGTACGCACGATACATTGCTCTATTATTATCTAAATATTATTTAAACGTACATCAAATTGACATCTAGATGTACATTCAGGATTATTTAGAAGCATTTGAGCGCTCTATTTTACCTCTTCATAGATATACCGGACTTTTATTTCACAGAGTAGCAACGTATACCTGTTATATAGATATATTGACTGATACGCAAAGAAAATAATAACAATATGTATAATTTTTTTATAAGAGCATTTTATCGTGTACGTTTGAAATATATAAAATAAGAAAATACTATGAAAAATTGGCGTAAATCTAGAGTCAAAGTTGTTCTCAACCACTCAAAATTTTATGCATTGCATATTTGCTTTCCTTATGTATAGATACAATTCATAAAGGTATTTTTATCGATTGAAATGTTAATTATTTCACACTTTACAGTACCGTCAACTTTACATTTCTTGCTATCTTATGCGAAAAAGTGCATCCTTATTACGTGAGAAGAGGAACATATCGACTATGATATGTGAGCTTCTACTCGTATAGTTGGTTGCACCATGACGGTACCAAGATACGCGCCTTAGATTAGACTTTATACGCCAGACGTTCCGCATACATCGACTGGAGTTATGTGGAAGAAAATTCATCGACCTTATATTTCAACGAAGACTGCATTCTTCGTATATCTGTACGGTAAAAAATCTGACAATCGATATGACAATCGGCTTGATGTTTCTTGCCATCCAATGAGAGAAATACTATGGAATGTGGTCTAACATTTTTTTCGTACGTTTTGTGCTACACTTTGTCGCTGTTTACTTTATTAACACACGCAAAAGCCATTATGGCTAAACTTTATTCTTTTACCAGATGTAACTGAAACTTCTTGGAATGCTTGTTACCTATACTCGTCGCGTGTTCGCGATGACGATATCTAAAATAGTAGATATGTAATCCCGAGTAGGCTGACACGAAATACAGTGGATAAAATTTCCTAAGTGAGTCGTCGAAGGGAACAGATTATTTTCTATCGATTTTCTAGCGATTATCGAAGAATAACATGACTCTTTTTTTATTCTATATCACATATAAGGAAATTGCATGCTTATAACGTACGTTTATCAAAATAAAAAAAAAGTAGAAAAACTAGACTGTGATCCGGAGAAAGAGATGATTAATTGTGTCGTGTCGATGAAGATTGTTAATTCGAGATTTCATCTGGTTAGGTCAGATGAAAGATCAAAGGACTTCAATGTCAATCGTTTACTTGTAATAGTTTGTAATCCTGTCACGCTGCGATTTCTAATTTCTCAATCGCTTAATCGACCAAAATAATTGAACGTGATCAAGCAGATGTTATATCTTTATGACAAAATACAGCAGATTGATAAGAAGAATAAAATACAGTACACTTAAAACTACATCAGAGTCTAAATTATACATATGCTTAATTCGTGTTGGCTATTTTCGGAGATTCCTTTCCGTGATTTGTTTTTTGAGCTGATGCAGAACGCATCCGTTTGTCATGGATTCTCCGAGAGATTTCCGCTCTTCATTCTCGCCTTCAGTCTCTATTTCCGCTCGTCCTTGCATCGCTGCATCATCGTGTCGGTTTGCAGATGTGCGAAGGGGCGTAGATATATCGTCAACGCCGTAATTTGCATCGCGACATCAAATATCGATTGCGTAATTCATTACAATGTAACGCGACGTCGTCGCTGCGATTGCAGAATCGATCTCGCGTGGTTAACTCTCAACCATATAGGAAGTAATTATTGGTTATATAACTGTAATATATATGCATCAGTTGGAGAGTGCAAATGAGTTTTTAGCGATGCAGTAACGAATAGAGAGATTATTCAATTATATCAATATCATTTAATCCTCTAAGAATTACGAGCATAAAGCAAGAGTTATTGATTTTTTACTTAGAAAGTTTAAGATGAAAAAATGTTGAATGTTACACTTTTGTCTGTTTTGTGTGTCAAATGTATTTTGAATATACGTAGATAAAGTCGAATTTCCTGTATCTGTCTAAATAGAACAAGGTTAATCACAATCTTTCTGTATATGAATAGAATCGAGCAAATCATTTATTTGCATTAGGGGATCAACCAATAGGGTGCCTTCAGTTTTTCGAAGATCGAGGGAAAAATA